TGAAATATCATACACGTTGGCTGACAAAGACACTTTTGAAGCCTTGTGAAAAATCAATTTAGTTCCCAGATGGGCAAAGTTTATCAGTGAGCAGCACTGAACAGTCCTACTGGCAGCACTTACCAGGTCTGCCTTATAAAACACAAAGCATAACAATCCTTGTCAGCCACCCGGCTCTTTCCTCTGTTTCTTTGTATGTTCAGCTCTTGACTTCAAGTGTAGTTTCTGTCTCGCTGCATCAGTACCCAAAGGGCTTGAGACAAAATACACTAGAATAAAAACTGATGTCAATTTCACAAGGGAAGGCTGAAAGCATTAGAGGAGATAGAAGCCTACTTCAGATGTAGTAGAATCTTGAAGATTTGAGGTAGACAGTACCTTGAAGATTTTCCTTAAGCCGAAGATAAGAGCGCCACAAGGATCATTTCTCTGTTACAAAGCTTCTTAAGRACTGTGCTGAGTTCCTGACAAAGAACAGGCAGAGGTAATTTAAATATTTCTATTTCTTGTCTTTTGCCTTGCAAAGAGTGAAAATAAGCTCTAGCATAAATTTAGGGACTTCTAAGATCTCTGCAGGGTGTCCTCCTCTGCTTCATGGATGGGATGTAGAAGTCTTCACAAGAGAGAAAGAACATTTTAAGGTGGAGAAAACTATTTTAAACAGTAATCATGGTTTTGCCCCAAGAAACAAAACATGTTATGCAAAACAAAACATCACTTTCAAAGGTCATTTGCTGCTCTTCCAGGTTAACCCAAGAAAAGGTTCAATGGGATGAGATGGAGAAGTCACCWAGGAAGAGGAACAGCGATGTTTGTTCAAAAGTTATTTCAGACCCTGGTCTTAGAACCAGAGACCTGAGAGGATTTTGCAAGAGAGGCAGTAGGTCCTGCRGTGAGGGCAGATAGCCCGGTGCTGTGTGTTATTTTGGAGCATAGCCATTACTGCATTCTGCAGTAATGAAAAGATTAGGACATGCAGCCTTCCTTGCCTGTTGTTCTCTATCAAAAACTTTATGCATTTCCCCTGCCACAACAGAACCTACTGTCAGGTCTCACACCACACCAATTACAATTTAACAATACATTTAATTATTTCATTTCTAATTCGTTCCTCTCTGCGCAGTGAATGATTATTGACGAACTTACAGAAATGGGCAGTTTTAAAGACCACCTTAAACGCYTTCTGTAGAAGTAAAACCACGCTCAGAAAGCTGCTCTTGGCTTTTAGTGAAGGTGCGATTCAAGTTGTGGTCAACAGAGGGAGATACAGCATAACTTATCAAAACATTCCTCAGGCAAGGATACAGTCAGTTCAAATCTTCCACTCAAAACTCAAGGGACTTAGCAAAACCAATTCATTTTGTATTGACGTTCACGGTTACTGTGTCTTAACTGCTGACCGTACACAGAATATTGCACTCTCACACCATCAAAGAGCTGTTTTAATCTCAAAGCCACAGCAACCCTTGCCATTCTGGGAAAAGGGCACTCCAGCTTCACCAGGGACCTTACCTGCTGCCAGATCCCCTTGCCCTCAGCAGCCCTCCTCCGTGTTTGGAGGCAATSTAGTCCTGAAGCAGTGGCATCAACACACAAACAGCTTTCTTGCACAATGATGGAAAGAAGGCCTCTGAAATGCCTGGGCCTCCTTATTGGGAACTACAGAACGAAGATGTAATTTCCCATGGAAATCCTGCTGCCCCTTGCTTACTCTATTGCAGCAATCCACGTGCTGCTCGGACACACACTGTCTGCCATCCGGTTTACGCAACAAACCAAAGGCTTTTGCAAGGATCCCTAATAACCTTTCATAGYGTTTTTAGAACAGTTCTATCCTTATTTACTGTGAAATCAGAGAATCACAGAACCAATTTGGTTGGAAAAGAACTTTGAGGTGATTGAGTCCAAGCTCTGACCCCGCACTACCTTATCAACCAGGCCATGGCACCGAGTGCCACATCCACTCTTTTCTTAAACACCTCCAGGGACGGTGACTCCACCATGCGCAGCCCATTCCAATGCTCAATCACTCTCTTAATAGACAGCAGACTGAAGAGAAAGGAAAGGAAGGATATTAAACATTATCCTCTCAGGATATTAAACACCTGAGAGGAAAGGTGGACTAGAAAGGAGTAGGAAATTCAATGTCAATGCCTTCATCAATGCTCCTTCTTCTGGCCCTGCTACCCGCTGTGCTTCCAGTACAAACCCATGATTCAGTGGCCTTGTGCAAGGCTGTAGAAAGCAGGAATCCTTGCTGGATCAGTCTGTTAGGATAAGATGCATCCACTGAACACATGGTGAGAGGGAGGTCCGCGTGTGGAGCTGTAATGTTTAGCAGCTCTTCTGACCGTGGGTGCTTTCTKCTCTGCAACAGGACTGCCCCTTTGATAAGCCTTCTCCTTTGATGTTCACTTCCCTGATCCGTTTTCTAAAAGCTTTTAGAAGAACTTCTATCTTAAACAAACAAACAAACAAACAAAACCAATAAAACCAAAACCAAACCAAAACAAAACAAAACAAAACAGGGAAATCCAGGACACAACCCATAAAAACTTGTTCAGCTTTTTCTGAGGACAAGAGGGAAGAGAAGGTAGGGCARTGCTTTTACACATTTCTTTTTACATTTATTTGCACTTTTCCTCATCGTGGCAGCCGCAAATTGAGCTGGTTACAGCCTTTCCAACCGTGTACATGAGCAAAAGATAGTCGGGGCGGGGCGGGGCGGGGGGGGTCGTCCCCTTTTCGTTTTGCTAAAGACAGACAAGAGCGGAAAGCAGCGCTGCTCTTCTGAATCGCTTTCAGTTTCTATTCTCCAGCTGGACTGAAGTTTCTTTTTCCCGTCGCTCCCTGCTTGGGGGCGGCTCGCACTTCCAACCAATTCTTCCGGCACCAAGGTTGGGGAGGGCTCTGCTCCTCGCACGCAGCCGAGAYCGGGATCGGGATCGGGATCGGACCGGGACCGCCGCCGGCGGTGCGCAGCTGCCCTCACCATGACGGCGGAGGAGAAGCGGAACCTGCAGTGCTACAGGCGGTACATCGAGAGGAGCCTGAACCCCGTGTACATCCTGAGCAACATGACGGACTGGCTGTCCGACGGTGAGAGCCGCTGCCCCTCGCCCCCCGCCCCCGCCCCTTCCCKCTCCGCTCAYTGCCTGTGCTGCCTTTCTGCTAGAAATCAAGGAGAGAGTCCGAAAGGAGGAGGAGAAGGGGGTGACCGCGGCCGCCGCGCTGTTCCTGGATGCCGTTCTGCTGCTGGAGGCGGAGGGCTGGCTCCGGGGCTTCCTGGATGCCCTGGTCGCMGCAGGTGAGTCCCTCTCCCGGGCCGGGTTTGTCGCCGCTCTCCGTTCGGGGGCGCTCCCGGGACCGGCACGGGCGCTGCGCTGGCCGCGGGCTTCAGCTGCCGAGTCCTGTCTCGCCAGGTGAGATGCGGTAGGAAACGGCAGGCTGGGAGAGTCTGGAAAACAGCCTGTTGGAAGGTGGTGCAGCTGGAGCAGCTCTTGAGTGTGGAGAAAGCCTCATTGATACGAGACTCGTGTTTCTCGGGGCCTTTAGGGAAGAAACAAGAGAGCCATTGTTCTCACCAAATACAATGAGAGGAAGCTGAATCCTCTGAAAGAGAAAGCTGAATGGGTTTCAGGATGTGCATGGAGACTAATTGGTGGCATGGCATAACTTCAATGACAGTCTTAAATTACTGTAAAAATATTTTTTACAGTTTTTCAGTGGCCTTGAAAGTCTTCTATTTTAAGAGGTATATAGTCATTAGTATTTTATAAAGATAATTGTTCCACAGCTGCTAAAACTGATATATGAGTTCCTAATCCAATTTCTTTTATGAGATGGAACAGAAGAGATTGTGAAGGTATGAAATTAGCAGCATTGGCCGGCTTTCCTCTATACATGTATCTTGTATGATACATTCTTGCTGCTGATTTATTAGATGTCTTGAACCCTGCATGACATAAGCCGTGTTTTCATTTCCTCACCATTAATTAAAAATAGTACACTATCTCAATGAACAAATATTACAAAATTTCTTGTTACTTGGATGTAGCCCATTCATATCTAAAGCAAATACTAGGTCCAGAGTAAACTTTCACCAGTCTGTGATTGTCCTGATTTCTGATTTGCTGAAATATCTACTTCAAACTTCTGGTAGTGTTTAGTTTGTTGTGTCTTCAGCAAAAATCTGAGACAGTTGACCTACTAATGCAAAGTGCTATCCCAAGTACTTATTAATTCAGAGACTAGAATTTAGGATTACTCTTCTTTTTGGGAAGTACAGAGGTAGGTAATGATTAGACTACTAAAGACATTATGGTGGTAAGTATCCACACCACTCTCCTGTTCCTCTAGAAGGAAATAACAAGTTAGGAAAATTCCTTCTGTTTGCCAACAAGTTCCTCTGGGACCCCAATCTGCTATTGTCCACACCAGAAGCAGCAGACCACACAAGCCCTTAAAATATGCTTCCATGCCACTGCCTGTCCCAGGACAGTATTTTCAGCAACTATTTGATGACTGTTTAGGTTGCAGGTGTCTGTACTGCTTTCAGTCAGGCACTGGCTTGAATCCAGTACAGTGGGGATTTTTGAAGGAGGACAAGAGTGAAAGATATAGTGCTGGTAAATACAAGAAAAGGCCACCRAAGCATCTTGTGGTTCTGAGTAGTGTCGTTTGCTTTGGGAATCATGTGGAAAAGTATCATGGACTGCAAGAATTCCAAGGATTGTTTGATGGAAAGACGAGATGGTTACAGGTGCTTGGGTAATGTGACCTGTGACATTGTGTAGCACTTTTTTGGTTTTGCAGGTGCTACTGCTCTTTCAGCATAGGGCTTTTAAAATTTCTAAGACTTCAAAAACATTTTCTAAATTTTCTAAAATCAGGGCTGTCTCTTTTTCTGAAAGGTTACACTGGACTGGCAGAAGCAATCGAAACCTGGGAC